GTGTGCACCCCTGGACCTCAACCGCAAGGATCCGATCGCAGTGTGCAGCGCTGGACCTCAACCGCAAGGATCCGATCGCAGTGTGCACCGCTGGACCTCAACCAGATAGTTTGCCAGATAAAATCCACAAACACACAATCACAAACACACGACCACAAACGCGCAGCCACAAACACACAACCACAAACACAATCACAAACCCACAATCACAAACACAATCACAAACACACAACGACAAACACAACTACAAAGACACAAGCACAAACACATAACCACAAACACAAAACCACAAACACACAACCACAAACACAACCACAAACACACAATCACAAACACAATCACAAACACAATCACAAACACGCAACTACAAACACAATCACACACCCAAATACAAACACAACTACAAAGACACAATCACAAACACACAACCACAAACATACACACAACACACAACCACAAACACACAACCACAAACACACAACCACAAACACACAACCACAAACACACAACCACAAACACACAAACACAAACACACAAACACACAACCACAAACACACAACCACAAACACAACCACAAACACATCCACAAACACAACCACAAACACACAACCACAACCACAAGTACAAACACACAGTCACAAAGACACAACCACAACCACAACCACAACTACAAACACATAATCACAAAGACACAACCACAACCACAACTACAAACACATAATCACAACCACTACCACAAACACAACCACAAACACATCCACAAACACACAACCACAAACACAACTACAAACACACAATCACAAAGACACAACCACAACCACAACTACAAACACACAATCACAAAGACACAACCGCAACCACAACCACAACTACAAACACACAATCACAACCACTACCACAACCACAAACACACAACCACAAACACACAACCACAAACACAACCACAACCACAACACAGCACACAACCCGAGGACCCATAAGCAACATCGAGAACTACAATACTAACGACTATGGCAACATGCTCCTCACTATGGCATCAAGACAAATGATTGAAATGTCATGGTGGGGATCACTCGAAGTAAAGTAATTTGTTATAACTATAGACTATATATATGTAAGATAGATTCTGATTAATTGTGTGTTTTAGGATGATCCTTTGGAACATATACTGCTGATAGTGATATAGGCTGGAGTACAAACACTTAGCTGGAAACCTACGTGAAGTCTACTTCATTCCACACTATGAACCGCGTGTCCTTTTCTGGTGAAGTTCTGCCGAGCTTTCGGGAGCGTCCTGTCCGGGCCGGCTATGAGTTCAAATGGGGAGACCCTGGTTGACCACTGAAAATGAATAGAATGCCCAACATGTTCAACCTACCAGTGTTTGGGGCTCAATCCAGGATCCAGCCATTTGACTCACAGACCATTTGTGTATACTTGTGGATAGTGCATGCGCTGGACAGCTTGGATGTGGTGCATCCCCTCCTCCGGGTGCTGGATCCGAACTTCAAGACATCCTTCTCAGGATCTTGGTATGACTATGTACGACTCATTCTTAGAACGCCGGGACCTTTTGTAGAATCTCATCGAAATCCAACAGGATGAACGACAAATTGTTCAACAGCTTTGTGTATGCCTGGACCCGACTTCAAGCACCTTAGAAACTGGGACGTGACCCGAACTAAAACGCAGGTACGACTGTACCCATTTTCTGAAGGACTTTGAGACTCCCGGTACCTTCAGTTCACCAGCAAAAATCACATCCAACCACCAGTGTATCTCGGCCATAGATCGCCACCCATGGGGGCTCATTTGGGGATGGGACTCGGCATCGGCCGCGGTGGAACCGGAGCTAACTCCGTGGTCGGCCGAGATGAGCAACGGAGTTTGATGGACAGCCCTGACGATGATTCCCTAGGGCTCCTGCTGGTCCAGATTTCTCTCAAGGGGCGGTCCTCGGTTCTACATTCGTCATGAAGCATGTAGTCACAGGCGTTCTGCTTTGGGCTGGGAAAAAAGAAACTTGGGCTCCTGGCCGCCCCCTCCGTTTCGAAGATGGTTGAGGTGGGTGCCAGGGGGTCGAACCACCTGAGGATATGGGCCAGGAGCCCTGGGGATTAACTTGTCCCTCCAATAACTGAAATATGTGGTGCGGGTGACACATGTTTTATTGAGTTAAGTCTTTTCAGTTTTAGTGAAGATCATTTCACACCCGGTGCCACCTGTTCCAGAGATGGTCACTTTGACCACGGCAGCTGAAAGTTTCATTTGGAACTTCCAATAGACCTTCAAGGAGGAACTGGTAGGCAGTTGTTGAATGTTGATGATTGCACATGATGATTCTTTGTAATACTCTAAACATGTAAAACAAACACTTCACACAGCGTAGCACCTGGAGAGCTGCAGTTCTTGAATTTCTGACCACACCGCCAGCTGCCCTGCTTTCCGGGGATTGGACTCCCCGTGGTGGACGTCAGTTGTGGCGAACAGAAGGACATCAGCGGCGAACCTTTTTTTTTGCGCGTTCGCGCGCACCACGACGTGCGAGGTCACGCCGGTTTGTGCGACGTGCAAGGTCGAGGAGTCAGCACAGTCAACAGGGTCTGTCCGAAACCCGAAATCTATAGAAATCTCAGATCGTTGTCGCGGTGCACTTAGTAGGTAGACAAGCTCGATCTGTGCACCCCATGGTGATTTTTCTTCAAAAGGCCATGGCTCTCATCGATGTGGCGCTAACATGACGCCAGGATGTGCTTTGGGTGTGTGTTTTGGTTGCTTTCTTCGGCTCAACGAGAACGGCCAGACACGGATCATCCTGGCCTTCTTTTCGGTCCGGAGAGACGAGTAGTGCAGTGGTAATCTATCCAGGCGACCCGTTGGATGACTCTTTGGTATAGTTATTTCATTCATGTTTGTACCTGGACCATCCTGGACCCGACTTCAAGTACTTCAGAAATGGGTACAAGTACCTGTTTTTAGTTCGGGTCATGTCCCATGTTCTAAGGTACGAACGAAGTCGGGTCCAGGTATATATATAAATAACCCTGGATCCTTTCTCATTTGGTTTGTCTCTACGAACTTTGGGTAAACGATTCCCAACTTGGTACCCCTCATGGTAGCAAGAGGACTGCAGTCCACGAAGCAAGAGTCGACTCCTTGACCTGTCCTGACTTAACTGGTCAGCCGATGGGCTGACACTTTAGCTTTCGCCCCCACAATGACGGCAGGTGAAGCGCCAGGCAAGACCACATTCTATGTTTGAATTCATTGACTCCTGGGACACATATTTAAAAACACCATTATCATATAGCTACCATATAGACCCGAACACTTCCTTGGGTTGGCACACATGCAGAATTCATCGGAATCCAAGAACTATGATATCAGGTTCGCGAGGGAACCTCCTGGTATTCCAAGAACTATGAGCAACCGCCAAGATATGCAGAGCGGTCGTGAATCTCAGGAATTGGGCCAAAACCGGCAACAGCGATAGGCCCTCCTCAAAAGCGATAATCCATGATAACCCCATATGTTCAGCTATGTTGACATTGTGGCTGAAACCTGCAAAAGCGATAGGCCCCCCTCAAAAGCGATAACCTTGCTGAATCATGTCTTTCTTGACAGTACGTTTTGGCAGACGGTCATATGATGTCATTTATATGTGTCTCATTTGCACAATGTTGGTTACTAGCTTGGGCAGCTTCCGGACCAACCAGGTTGGTGTGGAAGTCAGCCAGGACCTTGGGGTAGGGATTCCATCACCACACGTCGACCTCTGTTGAAGTCCTGACCCTGACACCTTGGGGGTACCGGTGGGGCCGGGCAGTTCGGTGTCCCATCCGTTCCGGGTGGAGTTCCGCTTCACCTTTTGTGCGAACAGGATAGACCCTGAAGTACTCAGGGCAGCAAAGGTCTTTTTCAGAAAGCGTTTGGGTGGGTCACATCGGGACACACATCGCGTCAAGTCAAGTGTCTAGCTGCACTGTTGTAGGGTTCGTGCAAAGGTTTCTTCTTGATTGCACGATGTGCTTTGGAGAAGACAATTGTCCTTCGATCAGGCTACAGGGATACGCCGTGATTTCTGATGTCATGGTTTGATATAGAGCTAGATGATCAGTAAAACATCCATTCTTCTTCATGGTTTGAGGTTTCAAGTTGCCGCATTGTGGGGTGCGCATTTTGGGCTGCTGCACTGTGCGGTGCCTGCGGTGCCTCCAATTTCTATCCATGTTCATCCAGAAAACCAGCCAGTGGCGATACCAAACCTGTCATGTGCCACGATGTTTGGCGATTCCATTTGCCAAATCGCCGTGCTTTGCAGCATCTCCAGCCGCCACAGCCTGGCGCGAGGAAGCCGTGCACAGCCACGCGCGCGTTTGCGAGAGAAAAGAGGGTGTCGGTGTCAAGGCTCGTGTGGACGTGAAACGAATTGATCCTTAGCTAGGCTAGGCTAGCTACCAGGATCATCCTGTCTGGTTGTAGCTGCTAGACTCTGGACATCTAGTGCCAGTGCAGAGCAGCTATCGACCCACCCAGAAACGGATGATCCAGGTATAACGAACGACGAAGACCCCTGACCCCTCCCCCGTTTGGTAGAGGCCAGAGGTCTTCCAGGGTCCCATGCCACGGTCACCATGGTTACTCGGTGTTCGTCAGATCTGTCATGGACGAACTGGGTCCTTTCTCGATCCTGTGAAGTGAATCCTTAGCAAGTCAGACGACTGCTCCACTTCCCTGTCCGCAGGCTGGAGGAGGTGGAACGCTTCAGTTTCTGAAGCTCACATCGAAGTCTCGGAATCTGGAGACAGCACCTCTTGGAATTGAAACGGGTTCAAAACCAACAGAGATTCAGAAAGGTCGACTTCAGAACCAGCCAGACATCCTTGGGGTCCATCAAATCCATGGAAATCAAAACACTTGACATCCGACCGCAGCCGGGTTTCACCTTTTGGACCCTCCGCTTCCTTGTTCACCTCCGCAGACATCTGAAGGCTCAATGAGGCCCCAATTGACCTTCCGTCGAGTTACAGGCGAGCTGCAGAGGACATCCGTCGAGCTACACGTTACCTGGTTTTGCTTAGGATGAGTTATTTTCCCTGAAGGGATATGTTCTCCGGTTCCTTAATTAAGCACATCTCAGGTTATGTTGGCCTTTGTTTCGAGAGAAAAGGGATGGGCATCCCTTTTCTGCAAAAGAGATGGCAGGCTCAGTTCCACAAACTTGTTTTCCTAGACTCTAGACACGAAAACAACAACCTTCGCCCCAGTTGAGAACTCCATGAATGGACTATTTGATGATATTTGATGAATTGAGCCCTTTGAGCCAACAGAGGCCCTTTTTTCATGGACTCCCTGTTCATGATGGAACTCGTTGGAGAGAGCAAGTGCTGATTCGCAATGGCGCCATGTGAAGAACCGTTTGACCGAAGACTCTCTCGCCGTCAGTAGGTGTTTTGGGTCCTAACCTGATTGGGAAAACAGGCCGTCACACACTGCAAGGGACTGGCTACATTGGGGTGGTGGTTTCGGGGGTCAATGTAGTTACTGTGCATAGGCTATACATTCAGTGTTTGGGTAGTACTACCCAGGATCATCCTGTGTAGTACTACCCAGGATCATCCTGTGTGGGTGTCCTCGCCTGTTCGGTCCAGACGTACGTAGTGGGTAGTCCTGCCAGGTGATCCAGAATGCACTCAGGGCATTCTCATGGAAGGCTGATGAGAACACAAGAAGCATCAACAGGTCAAAGCATATCTCCCGTTGTTTGGGGATGAATCTAGATGCTAAACACAAATATTAGTACGTGCCCAGTGTGACACTAAGGATGGTAAAGTATGGCAAAGTCGTGTTGTTCTGCAGCCTAGCTCCACCTTATTCTGTGTAGGTGTGAGTTTCCTCAGGGTCTTCAGACCTCAAACAGGCATGAGGACCAACGCTTTGCCTCACTCGTTTGGTCAAGAGAAGGGCTCAAATCCTGGATTCTGCCGAGGGTTTTGGGTGAGCCGCAGTGGCTCAGAGTCCCTAGGGGACAAACGTACACCAACAGAACTCATTATGTACAAGCCCCAAGAATCCTTGGACCCTCCATAAGGGGTCGCACCCTCCGGGTGCGGACCCAAACCAAATCCTTTCCATTCCATAAAAGCTCCGAAGGTCCTTTGGGTGAAAAACCAGAACTGATACCACGAGTCCACCCAGTCTTCCGCAGGAATCCAATGAGGTCGCCGAACCTCCCCATCGTGTGCTGGGCCCAAACCTCGACTCACCGGGCGCCCTTCGGTAAGCCATCGGTCTAGGCCTCGCGTCGACGAAACCGGAGGCCTATGGCCAAGACCTTTCGCCTTTGAGGCCATGGGAGATCCTTTCGTGGGGTCCGAAATGGGTCGCCTCCTCCGTCCCAAGAGAGGGGACACCCGTTTTGCCTGAACAATGGCTTTTGAAGTGCAACAAGGTGGAAGGAGCTTCATGTCAGGTTCAATGTGGAAGTCAAGTTGGGCGCTTTTGTTTGTGGTGTTTCAGCCAAGGTGATGCCTGACAATGGCTGAACAAACAACACCAAGCAGATCTTGTTCTCCCTTCTTTGACCATTTACGATGTTGGGAAGCAAATCAAGGATGTTTGAAGGATGGTGAGATGTCTACGTGAGTCTTCTCATGGTGCTGCGAGAGTTTGTTTTGTTCTCCGAAGTTCTGTGCGGACAAGAAAGTTCATCAAGTCATCCCTCAGCGAACAAACGACATATGATGAAACATGCAATGCTTGATAGTACACCCAATACCTGAGCAGGACATCGCAGTTTAATTGGGTATATATATATACCTTTTAGGTGTCCCATATGGTTCTAGCAAGTGATCTTTTGACCTGTTTCCTCACTTGTCTTTGTTGAATGAAATCCTCCCTCCAACCCTTCAACCCTTCTCGGTGCACATCCACGAGGCGCCCCCTTTGCTGCGGCGTTCGCCGCTCCCCGCCGTCCCCGTTCGAGCGCTGCAACTGCGGCATTCCGGGGATGTGCCAAGCTTTGATATCTTCCAGAAGATCAAAGACCCTCCGGAGGCCTGGGTTTTCATAGGTTCTCTGCAGCCTTTTCAGGTTTGGGTGGTGGTTAGAGGCCTAGGATGGAGGCTTTCTGCAGATTTCTCGGGTTTGAGTGATGGTTGAAGGAAGAAATCACTAGCTGAGAGGATGTAGAGATGTCCATGCTGCGAACGGGTCAGCATACAGGGAACCATGGAGTATAGCCCCAGTGTCACCAGGGGTGGGTGGAGGAACAAGCGTCCAAGGTACATCCATTCGATTCAATTGGATGTAACATGAGATATTCCGAGACAAACACGACTGCAAACATATGTCATCAAGCGCTGGTTTCTGTTTATTAAGTATGTATATTTAGCAGGGTATGCCGCCATCGAAATCCCTCAAGTCCTTGTGCCACTCCTTGGGGTAGATCTGCACATGCATATTGCCACAGAAGAGCATAGAGCATGAGGATAGCCAATAGGATTTGCTTTGATTCATTCGACGCCTGGAGAGTGCACGTATCATGAGCTCAACGTGGGACACTGTGGGGCACACACCATGGAAGGTGATCAACGTGGGACACTGTGGGGCACACAACATGGAAGCAATTGGTGTTGTGGAAGGACAAGTCAACTTTGTTTTCAATACACACATAATGTTTCTCAAAGGCTCCCTTCTTTCGTTGGTTGTCTGGAAAACCAACGAGCATTACCAACGGCGTTTGCGTTCAGCTCAGCGCCTATCCACTAACGGCTGCGCTAGGAAGGTGACGGTCCCGCCAAAGGGAAGCGACGAAAGCCCTCGGACAAGGCCTGGTCTTCCCCATGCAGGTGTTGGCTGTGAAGTCACTTTTGATGTCACTTTGGAAAGACAAATCTTTGGAAAGACAAATCTGATTCAAACTCTCATTGGTATTCAGCCACTCCCCGCTAATCATCTGCCGGTAGTGTGGGGGTCGTTTTTAATTGAATGTTGAATTCTACTTGTTGCGAATCCCTCAACTCATGTTCGCATCAAATGATTGTTTGGGAGTACTAGATGCTGACAGATCACAGATCGCCAATAGGTTCATATTGAATCATGGCGTGTTCAAGCTGCATTTCTATCTCCCAGAACGTGCACCATACTATGTTAGTCTCTAGCTTAAGGCTCAAGATCAAAGTCTCGACATGTACAAGATAAATTTAGTGCTCTTTAAAGGTGCTTCGCTGATTTCAGCAGCCCTTCCAGATGGCTTTCAGTTCTTTTTGACAAGACTCCGACCCCCTGTCGACCAGATGCTTCATGCTGCAGTACTCTTGGAACATGGCTAGCCAGGACGACAAGACATCGTAGACGAAGCTCTGAGCTTGTGCGCTCGACAAGCTCACCGTCATGGATGCAACAATTCACCGCACCTGTGGTCTCTAAAGCGTCAGAAGGATTGCATCAATACGTTTCAGGTCTAAGTGCACAAGAAAGCAAGGTGACATGAAAACTGCTTCCCAAGGCTGGAAATGCCTTTGAACTCCCAAACCATATATTGAGGTGTTGCAAATTAACAAGAAATCCATTCACATCGGCGATCCGGACCATGTTTTCATGAGCCAAAAGGGATCTCGTTCGCTTCGCATCCAACCTCACCCCCTACCTCGATCACCGTCCTTCTCTCCATGGCCGTGTCCGACGCGGGCACGCCGTGCCCAGCGCCGACACCCGATGCGGCCGCGATGGCGGTCGCGCGGCCGCGGATCAGCTGTTCCAGTTGCCTCTGCGGAGGTGGCGGAACGGTGGCTTCTTCCGTGGCGGAAGGGGGGCGGTCCGTGCGGAACGGCCAGTTCGGAGCACGGACTCAGGTGGAAGAACCAAGACGGGGACACGGATGAAGCTGAGATGAAGGGTGAAGTGACTGGGTGAAGTGATTGGAAGTGCCACTGAGCCTGTTGAATCCCAGATTTCTTGGGTCTATTGTGGTTTCAGAGGTTCGATGGCACAAGTTACCCGAAGCGCTTGGTGCATTGTATGAACCCCCATCCAAAAGACATCTTGGGGTGCCGATGCCATCTACTCTGAAACCTGTATCATTGTTGGAACGGGTTAGCGGAGTGCTTTTACTTACTTTAACAACACCTCCGCGTTTTTACACGAGAGATAATCGTATTTTTTTAATAAATAATATAAAAAATGATAATTATTGTATAAAATCAGCATTTAATGTAGTTGATGAATGAACCTATGATGAATTTCCAGAATGAATTTCTTTCTTTTTTAAGATATGCTGCATTGAAGAGCTTCGACCGCTCCAAAGGAACCTGGCTGGGAGACAGGGTATATATGGCTTATATATATATATGTCTGGAAGAAAGAAACTGGCGACCCCATAGGTGACGGAAGAAGACTTCAACAGAACAGGATGCCTTGTCTTCTCCCTTGCACCCTTTCGTGGCCAACGGTCGACACGAATTCGTGCGGACCTTTTCCGGGGACGACCGAGAGCTGCTGTGACAGGTCAGGTCCTTCATTTCCATGTCATGCAGCTGGAAGGCCTCCGAAGGGACGAAGAAGGGAGAAGGCGAAGGGACCAAACGACATGCTTTTGGCTGACTCAGTGTCAATGAGTCGAGGCTAACAGGCTAACAGTCCCCTCAGTATCAATGAGTCCCTTCTAGAAGCCTCTAACAGTGTCAATGAGTCGAGGCTTGTATGAATTCGAGATATCCAAAGTGGAACTGTGACAGTTCTGTGATGGCTTCACATGTGCGACATGTGTGTGTGACTTACGTAGATGTGCCGAGCTGTCAAGTTCGATGTTCGTACGCCATCAGCCAAGGTTGATTTTCCATTTTCCCGGGGGCGCTCCTGGAGGGTGTTCCTGGTGGGAACACACTCATGCCCAGTGCAGAACGTGGTCAAAGCCAGCTTGGGCATGTTCTACTTTTAATGATTATTCCATTCTGGTTTTGTGACGAGTAGTCTGAGGGTTTCAGGAAGATGCTTTACCGAGCAAGGCATTTGAAAAGCAACTGCTAAGATCACCACTGCAGCAGTTGATATGTTGACTTACAAAGAATGACATCCTTTGTTTTCGCTTTGACATCACATAGGTGTCCGCTTTCAGAAGCGTACGGCAGAAAATACTTACACAAGCGACTTGCCACAAGCGACTGCCCCAGCAACAAGCACTAATTGGGTTCCACGCGGCTGGACTGTATCATGGTTTGAATGACCTCCCCCAACTCGCAGCACGTTCAAACCACAACCAGTGTATCTATAGCACATTATAGCACCAATTACAGTAGTCTGAGTCTATAGCTCTTTGGAAAACCACTCCACCTTCAGAAGATCTTCTGCTTTTCCTCCGTTTTTGAGGCCAGATCTTCCTGTGGATCGGCGGTGAACGCTTGGGCTTGGACGATCTCCATGTGGCCACGCCCACCCGCTTCGACGCATTGCCCAGCGTGGCCTCGCTCCGGGGTGCCGCGGCGGTGTTCCAAACGACGCGCGTCCCCGGTGGAGCCGGTGGTTTTAGCGCAACTGTTGCAGGTGATGGTTTGGGGGTTTGGGGAAGGGACAACCCGAGCAAGAAGGACCAGACGGACGAGTCGGTGTGACTGAGGTTGTTATTTGGTCCAGTTGGACACAGACTCTATAGCTAACCAAGGTGAAGAAATCCAACACCCTCACCTGAAGAGGTGACAAAAGTGGAGTAGGGCGCATGAAACGTAGGCGTGTCCATATAGCAATCAGTAGTGTGATGCATGATCAAATGGCGAAGGTGCCAATGATGGTTAAGTTCTCAATGTTAAACATTCCGATGGAGTCTGTGCAATTCCTTAGAGTGCTCCTGTGGGTCATGCAACCGGGTAAGTTTTGGCTTTACCGATGGGCGTGTGGTGTCGGTGTGGTTTTCGGTGATGCAAAGCTGGATGTTCACGCAGAAGAGCTGTTTTTTTCTCAGAACCTCCTGTGGTTGTGATTCCGTCACTGTGAGGGGCAGCGAAACATCGTGGGTTGTGACTTCCTTGAGAGAACTGGAAAGAAGTCCTTTGCGAACCTCGGGTCGTCTGCACATGCAGCCTGGGCCGCTGAAGAACAGCTGAATGAACATGTCAATGATCCTTTTGGAGAGTTGTTCAACAGTTGAACCATGTTGAACCCATGTCCAAACATGTCCAAGAACAGATGAAACATGCCCTACATACAGGTAAGTGAATTTAACCTCATTTTACTGCTTGGAGTTGATCTTACCAAAGGCACTCCTCAACGAGGCATTCGTTCTGATTCGACCAGGTCTTGGTTGGGATTCGACCAGGGTCTTACCTATATAGAGACCGTACAGATGGTCTTCTGGGACAGGTGGTCAGGATCCTGAAGGATTCTCAGGGGGCAATCCCCCCCAGATCGTCCAATTCGCTTCACGGAGAGAGGAGAAGTGGATGGCCATGCGAGCGGTTTGGCACAGAAGCTGTCCAGGCACGGAAGACATGGACGACGTCCGCATCCGGGACCGGATGCGGAGGTGGCGGTGAGGTGAAAAAAGGGGCGGTTTCCATCCTTTCCAATCGATGGATCCTGAATAGGAATTGATGTCCTGCGTGTGTTTGGAACAGGTCTAGTACTCCTGCGAAGTCAACAGAGCTTCTCGGTTTCGATGTGAATGAAGCCTTCAGCGGTGTTTCGCTTCTGGAGTTGCCAGGAAACCAACTGCTTCCTAAGGGATCCAGAGAAGGGGAGGGGATCATGTCTGCAGTAGAGGAAGGGAGCCTAGGACTGCCCCACCATTTCCATGACCTCGTGAGCCCCCCCTTGACCTGTTTTATGGATTCAGACATGTGCAATGTTTGACTTCATGTCGTTCCTCAGACCTCTTAATTTTTCACGGCCTTGTCAATGAATCAGGTTTGTTCCTTCGGCACCTCCGCAGAAAGAGCACAAACACGGCCGCAGCGGTGCGTTCAGCCGTCGTTCTGCGCACCGTTCTGCGCCCGCGGGGAGGCGCTTTGGACGGATGATCTTCTTCAGCCTCAACCTGCCGGAGGAAGTTCAGGCAGAGACGATGCTCGCCCTTCAGCTGCTTGGAGTGAAGAACACGAGCGAAAGCGAGGTAGCGAGGCAGCGAAGCGGTTTGGAAGCTGCCACATGGGTAGCCAGCGGGTTTGGAAGCCTATGAGGCTTCCATCGGTGTACTTTGTCTTAATCAGCTGTCACCAGGGAGAGATAGTGTAGGTCAGAACCTGGAACACGGCTCCAGTTGCAGGAAGCATGCAGCAATATTTGTAACATTTCATCCCAACAGCAACCAAGCCAAGGATATCACATGTAAGGCCCTATTCAGGGAGCTCCCACACCTGTTGTAATTCATGACAGGCTGTGTGCAGTCTACACATTGCATTGATACAACAGGTGTGCAGGCAGAGGCCTCTGGTTGTCCCAATGGGCCACTTTGCAAGACTTGGCTCGGTTTGTATTGAATCATCAATCCAAGTGGGCCTAGTAGTTGTATTGTTACAGCCTCAATTAGTCAATGCATTTTCGGGAAACAGCGTGCTTTCAACAATGGGAACTCCGGCGCTTTGAAGTCGCCGCATGGCAATGGTGATTCGACTTTCGACCTGCCAGAGAGCATGGCCACACTTGTTTGGCATCGGTTCTTCCATGTTTTCAGGTGCAAGTCCAGTGGGCGACGCCAAGCCTGTGGAGTAAGCAAGTGTTGGCAAGTTAGTTCCCACGGCCGCGTGTGCACGACAAATGGTCGGATATCACACGGGTCTTTGCAATCAAGTGGCTACTGCAGGGTTAAGATTTTGGGCCACGACTTTTATGTCCATCGTGTGGTGGCCTCAGCTTTCCTCGGTCCTCCACCAGATGGGTCAAGATGGCAGGTGCATCATCGAGATGGCAATCCTTCCAATAATCGTTTGGACAATCTGGAATATGTGACTCAGAGCCAGAACATTCTTGCCTCCTACGCGAGCTTATCTAGACGGTGCGGTGCTGCAAAGCGGGCCGTGTCTGTAATGTGGAGAGCTGTGGGGTCCCAAAGCTGGACCACTTCCCTTTCAATGACGCAAGCAGCAGCGGAGCTTGGCATAAGCCAGTGGTCAATCTCCCACGCCTGCCGCAAAAGCAAAGTAGTCAAAGGCTATGAGTTTGAAGTTGCACATTGTGGTGAGATGAGAGTCCAAGAGGGAGAGGAGTGGCGGCAAATGTATGATCCTGTTTCAGGCCTGGAGGTGCCCGGACGGATGGTGAGCTCTCTGGGAAGGCTCAAGTTTCGAAACGGGCGAATATCATTGGGATCTTTGCGCAAAGTGGGGTACTACACAACAGGTATCAGCTTGACCTCACACAGACGTAGTGAATTGGTCCATCGCCTCGTGGCATATGCATTTCTAGGGCCACCTGCTTCTTGGCATAGGGGCTATGTTAACCACAAAGACCTGGACAAGGGAAATAACGCAGTTGAAAACTTGGAGTATGTATCACAGTCTGAGAACACATTTCACTGTTTTGCCACTACAGTCAGTACAGGCTCTCCTAGGCATAATGGTATACAAGTGGAAAGCAGACCTTTGGACTGCAACTACTCTTGGACAAGACATCCTTCTATCAAGAGTGCTGGCCGTGCTCTCGGTATAAGCCCAAGGAGCATTTTTGCTTGCCTCAGGGAGCAGCGTGCAAACACTTGTGGCTACCAGTTCAGATTGGCAGATGCTCCACCCACGAGGTTCCTTCCAGGTGAAGTGTGGCGTTTGGTTGATGTTGCAGCCCTTCTTCGAGAGAGGGCCATGCGAACAGGCAGATGATCATTTTGCAGTCACACCCGCTTTTTACACCTTGAGCCCGTAATGGTCGAACAGTAAATAGTAGGCGGAGAAATGTGCCAAGTGTCATTTTCATAGCATGCGGACAGCTTGTGATGATCAAGCTTTGAGTTCCACCCTTGATCATCCGAGTTCCACCCTTTATCGAGCCATTGAAGACACAGCAACGGCATATTTATGTTGGCAGCACCAAAAATGACCGTGACCAATGGATTTGATTTTCATTTGCGAAACCCCGGCATCTCATCATCCCATCCATTTGGGACTTCAGCTTGTAGACCTTCAACTTTCTGCGGCCCGTTGCTTCCATGGAACTTTTGGGGATGTAGATTTACTGCTTTGATCAATTTGGATAGCTACTGCATCACATGTGATAGAACTTGGCAGTAGGATATAATGATGGGGCTGGACGACTCTGCAAGACTTGGCTCATGTCTGTTGGATCATGTCTCGTGTTTCCAAATCCAAAACAAGTTCTGAGTGATCGTACAGCTATGATTTGAGACAGCATTTGTGCAACAAGTTGAGACAGTTAAAGTCTACAGATCATTCCGGTCTTTCTGAAAGGAGGGATGATGCATGACACATGAGCCTTGTGCTGTTCTCCTTTTGAGCGTAAGCAACAGAAGAGTGCGTCCACCGGCATGTGTAGGTTGGAAACGAATGAAGTCGTGCAATCCATCGAAGTGTAGAATCTTTGTGGACACAAGTATGTAGGGGCGATCCCTTCCACTGAGCAAGTTGGTGTATAGGCTATAGGATTATACCATATATTTAATCCATATTCCCTAGGGATCCAAGTACCTTCTCAGCAGGTACTTGGACCCTCCAAACCTACAGTGACTCCAATCACCGTACCTGAGAAGGTACGACTGGATGCCTAGGGATTACCTCTATTTCATGCTTCGTTCGCCCACCGCGCAATTGCCGGAGGAACGCCCACCACCATTCAGATTCCTAACTTCTCCTACCACCCCCACCTCCGGATCTCCGGATCTCCGGGCGTCGCGTGCCGAACGCGAATGCCGCTCCGCGGCGCGGCTTCAGGAAGGAAAGCACACGGATTTTGACCGACCTCTTGGATTCACCTGCCGAAGCTGCCGAGTGACGCTGCGGAAGAAAGGACCGAAAATGGCCGCCGGAAGGGTTGGTGCGTGTGCCTGTGCACGTGCGAGTCTGCGAGCTGGTGCGATCCAAAGGGCGCGCGGAGGGCACGGAGGGTGAACAGTTGTGGGGTATATAGTTGGTGGTGGCGTGGAAGAAGAGACGACTGAAACTGTCAGTCAGAGCGTCTCAAATCAACACTAAGTGGTGCAGAACATATTTCTTGTCGTCTTTTTTTTGGTGCAAGACAAAGCAAAGCTCTCGGAGGTCTTGCGCATCGTGGATGAGATCATGTCCTTGACCCTCATCGAGGCCTCACCCTCATCCCGCGGGGATGTCGGGGGAGGTCGGGGGGAGAACGAAGCACCAGGGACCCAATCCAAGAGAGGTTTCTCAGTGACCTGATATCTAGTCCAACTGGCCATAGTCGAAGGACTCGGGTCCTGCAAAATCTCTAGATGACCGAACCAACTGCCAGACATGTTGGTTCAGCCCAAACCCAGTTGCGAGGGTCAAAATTCTATAGCGAACGGGTTGGGTCCTTCAACCTTTGCGTGCTTTGATCGGCCTTTTGCAAGATGGGCCGCATCAAGTGAGACACAGAGACACATTGATGGCACATGCGACATCCTGCACATGGTGCAGCTTGCCCCAAGCGAAATGGTGAGACTTCGATCACTTTCATCATCTTCGGACCGCAGATTCATAGAACCCACATGTCCCTTAAGGACCATATGAAGCCATAGAACCCCAGCGCAGAACCCAACCTACACCCACACAGAACCGTTCACCTCTCCGCCCACCCCCCCGGCCGCCAACCACGCGTGGACCGACTCGAGGCCGCGGACCTGTGCGATCTGTGCCAGGACGGAAGCGCGAGCGCGTGAACCGTGGGCGAAAGCCCGGTGACGAACAGCGAAAGCCCAACGAATCTTCCAATCCACTTGGAATCATATACCAAGACCCCCCAGGAGTTGGGTGATCCATGCACACCCCGAATCACCGAACAGCTATAGCGGGGCATAGCGGGGCTATTTACAGCTGACACCCCGACAGGAGGGTCCTGGTAGAATGTCGGTATTTCATCGACAATGATGGAATGTGCAATCATGTGCAACCCCTTCATTGTTTGGACCACCACTTCAAAGTTTTGACCACTCCTTCTAAGTTTCGTAAGTGTTGTTGGAAGTTCTTGGATCTTGTTTGTTCTTAGTCCAACTAGACCTTGATGCTGGTCTACTTTTGCTGGTCGGGTTGCTGGTCTAGTTGAATCAGCAAGAGTGGGGAATCAACCCTGAATGCCCGACTGATCTTAGAGTCGAAGAGTTCGGCTTCTCAAGAAGATTGGTTTCTCAGTCAGGAACCCTTTATGCAAAAATTGATAGGAATCCAGTTACACCATGTTGCACACTGCACCAGGTTTGTAGACTTCAGTATTTACGTTCCAAGCATTCCAAGGTGTACTGTCTACCCATCTACCCTTTCAAACCAACTGACCCAACCCTCCCTCAACTGATCCACTTGACAGGAGCAGTTGGAGACATTCACTCCAAACAGATCACATGTGGATGCTTTCCCCAGAGAAATAGACATGGAAACCTCTCAGGAACTACAGAGAAATAGACCACACAGCCACAGCTTCCATGTCAATGGTTCAAGTTCACTCTCTTCATGGCACTGGGTCTTTCTGGACCGCCCCAGAAAGACTCCTTCATTTTTACACCATCCCTTCATTTCGAGCGGTCACTCTTACTTTGACCTTCTAGTCAAGGTGTCCTTGCTGGAGAATCCCATCCCATAGTCAAGTGGTGTGGCCTCTTTTGGGGGTTGGGAAGCTAAGTGACCCCGGGCTGGAGGCCACTCCAATTGGAGAATCCCTAAGTGGTGTATAGGGGCTTCCAGCCAAGTGACCCCTGCCTGGAGGCCACTCCTATTGGAGGCATCCTTCCCCTGCCTGGACTCCTATTGGAGTGCTTGGCATCCCCTTCCCCATGACTCCAGGAGAAGCTCTCGGATGGAGCGCTGCGCGGTCGGATGCCGTCCCTTGGAACCGGACACCGGTCGGATGCCGGGGAGGATGGGCGGATGGTGGAGCATCGGAGTTTGGAGGATGGGAGGATGGAGGATGACACCTCTTTCTTCGAAAGAAGTATCAATTCTATCGAACACAATCATCTCCAGCAGCTTTGATGGCGCTTCAGATCCTTGCATATCGACCCCAGTCGCGTCGACCCGTCTTCCTTCGGAACGCCGAGGTTCCCGCATCCGGCGGGCATGTTCTCGGGCATGCCCATGCCCATGCCCATGGCCGGCGTCGCTCGCTTGGAGGAACCTTCTTTTTCAAAGAAAGATGGACCTGCAGGCGGTTGCTTCTGTTGCTCCTTCTGTTGGGTCTGTTGAAAGTGACCGACTTGTTCATTTTTCGACAAAGTCACTTGCAGACTGTGAGGTCATCATTTCAATAAGACACACATTCCAGAGCCGATTTGTTTTTCTCACTCATCATAAGGCGATGCCAGCGATGCCCATGCCACAGGCGGATGGTGTTAAGACCGGGTTCCTCTCAGAGGTGTTTCAGTGACTTTGGACAGCCAGGAACTTGCCAGCGGCCCTCAAACTCATGAAGAAACCCCAACGTTTTTAACTTTTCACATACAAAGAACATGTTTTTTTCTAGGGAAAACCAGGTTCTTGATGGTTTGTGGGGCCCCTGGTGGGGGGTGAATTGGCAACTCTGAATGACTTGATGGTCTACGTCTATGCCAGGGCCCCCGGGCCCCTGGGGTATCTAATGATAGCCCCTTAGAGGTTAGGGGATGTCCATTGACTACTCAAGGGGCCCTGCTGTATAGACGACTATAATATGTTGAAAAGCTTCGCTTCGGATGTTTTATTCAGAAGTAACAACCTTCCAACACAATCCCTGGGGTCCTGTGCTTCTGTCTTCATCGACAGATCGCTTGGCAACCCTAATAACCGGCTACAAGTCGTTCTGGAACCAGGTGTTGACTTTGCCTACCTTGGCCTACCTCAACATGGGATTATCTTATGCTGAACATAAACCCCAAGTGTCGTTTCTTCCCATGCTCTGCAGACCGCTCCCAGCGTCGTAGGCCGCGCCGGCGGCTGCGCCAGTGGAGGAGGCGAGAAAGGGACAACGGCGATGGTTGGGGTGGTCTAGCCGATGTTTGAGCCAAAGAAGACGATCCCAGTATATCCACGTAAAAGGGAAGTCGTAGGGCAGGTAGGGATCCACGGCTCAAGAAAGATGGCCTGCAGGTTGTGACGATGTTGGTTAGCCACTTGGAGGCACCCCCAAATGGGGCGAGCGTTTATGGTATTCGTGTGGTTTGGGGTAAACAGAACAAACCATGTAATTACAGTAGCAAGGGAAGTAATTACACTTTTTTGGTGTCAGGAAATCCTTCCAAGTAGCTGTATAGCTGGCTTTTGGCCAGTCCAAACCTAGTCAGGGAGGGACTCATTCACTCATGCGGCTCGCAGGCGGCTGCTGCGGAAGCGCCAAAGGAGGTGCCAATGTTTGATCGTCTCCAAGAGTCCCTCCAAGAGCGCCAAACGAATGTCTTGGAACCCAACTCCCATAGAATGGTCGCGCAGGGTAGAGGTTTCTGTTCAAGCCTAGCCGAGGTTCATCTAGACCTTCTTAGTTATTTATAGGAAGCCCGTTTCGGCCGACACGCATTCCTCCTTTCAGCACTGGAGAAGTCTTCTTGGATCGAGAAATAAAGTAGCCATCGGAACCATTGAAGGGCAGTTTCTAGGGAACTTGTTGCGAATGGTGAACTCCATCTCCATCGGGTTGGGAGATTCATGTTGTACATACACCTGCAGAGACAAATTAGATGTTTTCCTAGTCCCAGTTCACTTCTGGTGTGAAGGATCTCATTTGCCATTTGGCGTTTCAACCAACATATATATACCGGTTGGATGCAGGGTTTCCAGGATGTGTACCCCAGACACTCCATGGGACTAGGTATATTTACATACCCATGAAAGGAGTGGTTGATTTCAGGGTCAACTGATCGGCATATATGACAGACATGGCATGTTTGGGTACGAAAAAAAAACAAAAACAAAAACACACCTCTCAACTCCTGAACATTCAGACTCCTGGCCGACCGGGTCGACCTGGTTTCAGAACCATCAGAACTGTGGCTCCATCATGCTCGGGCCTCACGGGGGGGTGTGGAGCAGATCGATCATGATGAGAAAGCAGTCCCGCAGGTGGATGGGTCGTGTGGCTTCATTCGGGGTTAGGCGAAGAAAGAGGAGAAGAAGAAGGAGGTCTACACCATCAAGTTGGCAGGGACTCTCAAGTAGCATGACCGGCTCAGTTTCCTCAGTTTCAGAGCTCAGAAATCCAAGAGATCGGCCGACCGGAACCGGCCAGCGGACGGTCGAATGACGAGAAGTACCATGGGACATGGATCTCCATGGCTTTATGTATGCCTTAAATAGTTATTCTGAAGGGGTATGCCTTATGTATGCCTTATGCCTTATGTATGCTTTGTGGGGTCCTGGAATAATTAACTGGAATAAACCCAGGGGGGTCTGGACCGTTGACCAAGAAGTGGGGGTCCCTTTAAGGCACCAGCCGGCTTAGAAGACACCGGAAGATCCATCCCCGAACAGGTGTGTCTTGGAGTGGGTGATTTCGAGGTGATGCAAAAGACAAGTTTTGGTTCTTAAACCTGCATTTGTGTTTGTGTGTGTGTGTTTGTTTGTCTCTGTTTGTCTCTCTGCTTGTTTTGGTTTGTCTGTTTGCCTGTCTCTCTGTTTGTGTCTATCTGTGTCTATCTGTGTGTCTGTCTGTGTGTCTGTCTGTGTGTCTGTCTGTGTGTCTGTCTGTCTATCCATCTATCTAACAAGCTAAGCTAAGCTAAGCTAGGCTGAGCTAATTAATCTAATCTATATAATCTAATCTAATCTAATCTTTAATCAATTCTAATTCTAATCCTAATGCCCTTCCCGTCCCTTCTCTTCCCTTCTCCGCCCTTCCCTTCTCTTCCCTTTTCTTCTCTATCGATCTATCGCTCTATGGCTCTATGGCTCTATCGATTGATCTCTCTCTCTGTCTCTGAATCAGTCTGTCTCTCTATCGGTCCATCCATCCATCCATCCATCCATCCATCCATCCATCCATCCATCCATCCGTTTCTATCTCTCTCTCTCTCTCTCTCTGTGCTCATTTTGAGACACAGCCCCATTATTTTTCTCACTCACCACGAGCTTTTCGATTCTGCAGGCGTAAAGGTGTCTTTGTTTTTGGCGTTTGTTTTCGACTGTGTACTGAACTGTGCCTCCAACTTGCTCAGCTTCTTCAAGTCCTGCAACGAAGGATATCCTTCCTATAGGGTTGAATGTTCGATCCTTTAGCAGAATGCACTCTCAGACAAAAAGCAGACTGCATCCTGTGCAGACTTGACAGGTAATCGACTCATCGACTAGACTTCCGATGTCATGTATGACTACGAACTCGAGGATCAACGACTCATGAGCAACTCATGACCAACGTTCCGTGTTCAGTGGTGAGCTTGTCTCATTCTGTCTAGACTTGCACAGGGAGATGCCAGTTGCTCTCAAGCCGCTCCGACCTGGCGTTTGCGCCCCAGGTCGGCTTTGAATCCTCTAAGAAGATCAACGTCGTCAAGGAGGCCTTTCCCCTCCCCTCACGAACCTCCGCGCGGGTCGACCGGGTTCCCTCCGGGTCGTACGTTCGGTTGGGGGTTGATGAAAGACCCGTCTCCGACCGAAACGGGGCCATTTCGGTGGGCGCCCCGTGGGTGAACAGACGAAGGGAGCCAGATGGTGACCTGTTTGGGAAGGCCATAGGACTGCCGATCAAGCCAGACCCCGAAATCAACCACCCCTGGCCGTTTCTCGGCAGTCCGTCCTGGCAGTCCCATGTGTCGTGTCTCGGGGGGCTGAGACAAGAACATCACAATGAAATCTGGGCGATAGGTCTTTGGTACCTAAGTTCTTTGGCCCCGCTTCGCAAGAGAGCAGCTAGGTGCGCGCGATCACTGCGATTGGCCTGAAGGAGGCGAAGGTGGCAAGGGGGGGATTGGCTCCCGGGAACGGGGGATTTGTTCCGATTTTTTGCAAAACACTAGTTTGTCTTGGTTTGTGTTGCTGCATTATTGTCTATGTGTTTTGTTTTGTGTGTGTTTTTAGTTTATTCTTTGCTGCATGTACTCAGCTATTGCTGAATCTTCCTGGGATTGGAGGTTTCGCCCATGCCTGAGACAGATATATCTTCGATGACCTATCACCAACGGCAAACTGAATGTTTGAGAACATGGGCGAGTTCTTATGAGTTTTCCAACACATGTGTCTTCGAACATGAGCACTCATGCAAGCTGGATGTTCTCATGAGTTCTCCTGTCAGCAAGACCTTGGAGACCTGTTGTTGTTGTTGTTGTTGTTGTTGTTGTTGTTGTTGTTGTTGTTGTTGTTTATTCAGTATATGACATTTCAATGGCCAAGGAGCGAAGTTCATCCTGAAAAGACGTTGGTCATTGAAGACCAATCAATGGTCTTCAGTCTTCATCTATCAGTTTCAACTCTCCCATGACAGTCCCCAGGTCTTCAGGCGGAGCTGCGCAGTCTGTAGTCTGTCCAGCGTTGTTAGCGCACATGAGTTGCATGATGATCAGGTGGCAGATCTTCACACCTGGACCTTCTTTCGGGGTGTCCTGTCTGGAGGTCCCTATAGGTAGTGGGCTGGGGCTTCCAGCCAGGTGACCCCGAACTGAAGGTGCTGGTATATATTCATCTTAACTCCCCGGAAGGATCGTCGTCAAGCTTCAACCTCCTGTGTCATGTGGAACAAAGAAAACGTGTGCCACAAATGGCCGCAACTTCCGTGCGTCTTCCGTCGGCGCGAACCAAAACGTAGCAACCAGAGGACGCCTAGAATATTCCTGGAATGGTCAACACGCAGCGGAACACCTGTCTCGTGTGACTGGTCAGCAAAACACGACCTTTAGGATCCTTGATACAGTGTCCCATGTCACGTGGTCCCAAAAAACATCAATTTCTGCTGAGTTGGCTCTGTTTGCTCTACCATGTTTGACTCGAAGACCTCACGTAGCTTGAATACATTTGCATGTGGGCTGTGAAGACTTTTGGTCCGTGTCATAGGCGTGCGGGGAGCATTGTATATCCAGCGCATTCGGTACACCATGAACAGAGGCATCATCACATCGGAGCGAGGTGTTCTGGCTCAAGGCTGCTGGTGCGAGTGCTGCTGGCTCATGTCCGAGGCTCCCACGGCACGGCGCCGCATTGGCGGCACATGTCACTCTCTCTCAGAGGTGAAGCCCAGCCTGAAGCCGGAGGAGCTTCTGGATGATGGGATTCCCGAAGAAATGGTCTTCATCTCCTTTCACATCGAAGAGAAGCATTTGAACAGTTGGCGCACGGAGTGCTTTGACCGACTTCCGAACCGAGACTCCTTCAGCTCTTGCACGGAGTACGACCGAGCGGATCCAAAGGGGCGTCCCAATGGGCTCACACACGAGACCTACATGGAGCTCTTACAGGAGATGGTGCAAGTGCTGGAGAAGCGACCGTGGATCCTCAAGAGGAGCGTCCGGCAACATCGTGGGGAATGGGCAATCATTCCTCAGCCGGTGTGCGAGAGGCTGAAGAGATGTAGACTCTGGAGACGGTGGAAGATCGCGAGCTGAGATCGCGGCCGCGACATGGCGGCGGTGCGGGGCTGGCTTTCGGTCTGGTGAAAGAGAAGCCTGTGGGTTGGATCCTAAGGCTCCTGAGTGTATCAAAAAGTGTAGAATTTCTGACTCTGACACTGGCTGATAGGCCAGTTGTAGGGGTTCGGGTTCGCCTGATCTTGCAGCGCTTCTTCACAGCACAATGAGCGTATGAAGTGGCGACTTGGATTCTGTATAGTTTTTGCAAAAGAGTCCAACCAAGTCTTTTTGCTCGAAGCCCGGTTTTGCAGCGAAGTATCATCATCGCCCCAAGCGCTTCCGAGCAGTCCAGTCCATTTGACCAAATTGACTGTTGCCAGATTGAACCGAGGGACGGATGAAAAAGGTGAGGACCGCCGCTACTAGATGCGTCTGTTGCGTGACGCCGCTTAGTAGCACCAAACTCCATCCAGAGATCGATGTTGAGATCCTGAAGTCGACCCGGAACTCGTACTTCAGAACATGGGTACAGTCGTACCATGTCGTAGACAGGTGTTTTAGGGTCATGTTACATGTTTCTATGTTCTAAGGAAGTCCGGTCCAGTTAGGTATGGTCTTCCACTCCGGTCTGGCGCTCTGCCTGTGGAGTAGCACATGAATCATGCCCTTCGCGTGACGTGCCGATCGGACCCCGGAATCCGTGTTCGACGGCCCCAATCCCTTCGTTGACCGATGGGATCGACGTCCAGGAGCTGGTTGAAAGCGCTCCGAAAGTGGTGCGGGGACCGGTTTGCGCGCGACCGCGGGACCGGTTGGACCATGGGGAGAGTGGTGGGGCCACGGTCGGTGTTTTGTGGGTGGCACCTGGTGTTGTGGGCGATCCTAGCTGAGACCGTTCGATCTTCGAACTGTGGCCTCACTGGGCTGGTTTGATGGATGAATTTTGGCACACATGTGGCACAGTTGGAAGATGGTATAAGGGAGTGGGGTCCGGAAAAATAAAGAAACAACAACACACGCACAGAACTCCTCAGCTAACTATATATAGGCAGAGGCAGGCAAAAAAACGATTCGTGGCATTTGGGGTGAAGGTTTCTGATTTGGAGTCACTTGGAAATCAAAGTACTAAGGCATACTAAGGCCATATACAGCCCTAGGGATCCAAGTACCTTCTCAGAAGGTACTTGGACCCTCCAAACCTACACCTCCAATCACCTTCTGAGTACCTTGGGCAGTGTACTTGGGCGATTTTACAGAAACCATCTTAGATCCAAACGCGCCTGTCAGCAAGAGCTTTGTTCTTCTTCCTCTTCTCTCTAGCACTCCCTGGACGGACCTGGACCGTCCGAAGTACCTGACCGCAAAATGGGACATGACTCGACCGCAAAGAAAAGGATGGTAGAACGTATAAATATTGTAGACTCTTGATTAATAAACGGGCCCCCCATATGAAGAGGACTTCCAATTCAATAGGAAGGGTCTATCACGAAAGCGATCTCCGAAGGAGGTCAGCTGAAGTTCAAGTTTACGATTAATAGATGTGTCAAAATCGAAGGGATCAATTGAAAAATCACTACAAACAACCGCCCCCCCCCCCCCCCCCCCACCCCCTCCACTTCGTGTGAAGTGAATCAATAGATACCCTCCCTCCCTCCCCCTTAACGAATTGAAGCGGTATTGATTAGGGCCCCCCCCCCACCCCCCCAAGGGACACGACATCACAAACATCATCTCAGGGGATTATTTTTAAGGTGTTTTCACGATCGTCGTGTCGTCGTCATCGCTTTCGTTCCCCGCCTCTCAAGTCATCGTCATGGTTTTGATGGCTCAACTAGCTGTCAGACTTGGAGAGAGTTGGACGTTGTTTTCCTTGGCGCAAAGGGAGCAGCGGAAAGATGGACTCTGGAGTGCTACATTGTGAAATATATGTTGCTGCTGCTGTCTTTCCAAGCAAAAAAAGTTGCGACAAAATGAGAGTCAGCGTCTTCTATCATCGCCACGAGGGCACGAATCGCTGGGCGTGGTGCGCGCTTGTTCATGATCAATCATACAGAAACTTGGCCATATGAGAATTATGATTTTAACCATTTTAAACATCTATCATTTATGACAACAAAGCTATCAGCCATCATCAACTTTTAAATAACTATCAGTCATCTATCAGTATTATCAGTCCTTTTGATGATTTCCCCTGATCAGGAAGTGATGGCGTCAATTTCACTGGGTGTATTTGGTTATACAGCCCCGCACTTGGTTGGATAAACCAGGGGCGCTGGACTTGGTGCAACCAGAACCGGCGGTGCCTGACATTCAGCGACTATGACTTTGCTTTCCCACAGAAAGAGTGTTTGTAGTGGTTGCCGAAGCGGCCTCAGAGAGGCAAAGATGCCTTTTTTTTGCGTCCCAGTCCATGTTGAGGTATTTGTTTTGTGCCCCAAACAGTGTGGGCACACTGAGGTGTTCTTACGGTAGGTGAAAGGAAGGTGTGCTTAGATCGCTGTTCCGCGCGGGCGTGTGCGGCTGATTCGCTGCTATTTACAGTACATTAACATCGTCCATGTGCACTTCGACTGCGCAGGCTCGCTGAATCTGGGTGTCTGCGGCGGGTGCTTCTAGCGACTGCGCTCTCGTTGTGGTGCCGTGCACATTTTCGTACATGGTGGTGACTTTTCGTGGCAGGCGCAAGGGAAACCTCGTGTGTTTTGGTGCTCAAAAGTCAACTTTTCGTGACAGGTGCAAGGGATCGGAGCTGTTTTACTTCGACATGCAGTTTTCGTGGCAGGTGTTTCGTGACAGGTGCAGTGAATCGTGACTTTTGGACATGTGGCTCGTTTGCAGATTTCGTGGCAGGCGCAGCACTTGGTGAACCTCGAAGTACAGGCACAGCACTATGAACCTCGAAGTACGATTTCGTGGCAGGCACAGCGCGTGGTGAACCTCGAAGTGCAGAGTTCGTGGCAGGTGCGGCACTTGGTGAACCTCGGGGTAGTTTGGCAAGGATTTTCTAGATGCGTTGGCCCGTTTTTAGTCATTGTCCTATATTGATCCCACCGGCACTCTGCTAGGATGCCGGTGGTCAACAAGCAGCCGGAATGGCCGGCTACCAGCGAAACTTGGCCTGGCGCAGTGCGCATGTAGCGGGTGGTGGAATCTCTATCCTGGGGTTGCAATTCTCCATTGCCATTCACAGGAAAACTAAAGCCCAAGTTCACACTCACGTGGCCATTGTGAGACCCGAGAATAGAGTGGTCAACCTTTGTCAGGCCAAGACGTGCCAGAATGGTGTACCTTGGCACAGTCGTGCGGGTCCTGGAGACCCGCACACTAGGCCTCCCACGGCGCCAGCAGGAGCCCCAGCTCAATGGCTCAGAAACACAGAGCCTGATTCGTTGATAGATGTTCCTCAGGTTAGATTTTAGAAGAGGATCCCGCCTCCCTGTCCCCAACAGCACTCACGTGCGTGGCCAACGTTGGAAAATTGCGAGCCGAGAGTAGAGGGTAAGTCTGGTCACCTTTGACAGGCCAAGAAATCCTTGTGGATGCATTCAATCCAAATGAACAACCTCGCAGGCCCAATGCAGTTGCCCCCGCGCATACTGCGTGCGCCGATCCCGTTTTGCCGAACGCCAGCCTACAGTGGACACCAGCAGCAGCAGTAGCAGCAGCAGCGGCAGCAGCGACTGCTGCGGCGCCGCCTCCGATGCGGACACACCTTGTCACCCGCAAGCGAGGCGTCGGAGTCCTCAGGCGAACAGGGTGAAAGCTAAAGCGCCAATCACTTGCCAGGCTGGCTACATTGCCAGAGCTGCTGAGAGGGCGGAGGCATACAAGGCCAAAGCAGAGGCGCGGAAAAACTATATATTCAACAGAATTTCTGCTGACAAAAACAGGCACGCCGGGAGCGTAAGCGACAGTGGCATCACCCAGCGACAACCTCGGCAGCGCTCGAAAGGACGCCGTTCTAGACATCTTGTCTCAGCATGCCAGGGTGGTCTTGACCCCGCTCCGCTGGCACCTCGCGGGCAAGCAAGGCCCAAAAAACCCGTTCGCAATAGTGATCAAGGCTCAGCCGCGGCAACTCGGCGTGTTAGCTGGTAGCGGCTGGCACGTCCACCGTGTGGCTGCTGACGGAGACTGTCAGTTTGCTGCCCTCTACGCGGCCATGCTCGTACAGGACAAGGCACTGACCTGGATCCCATTCGGAGCGCGTGATTGTCACCTTGCACGCCTTCGAGTTTGGCGTCCCGTGCGCGCAAGACGTACGTCGCCTTGCCTGCGAGCAACTGGCTTGGCGGCGCGAGCACTATGAGGCCAGAAGCTCCAAACCTCTACGAGCCCGCCCACGTCGATGGTGTCGACGCCTACCTCGGCGAGATGCGCCGCTCTGCTGCGGGTCCTCACCCTGGTGCCTGGGGAGACCGCACTTTGCAGGCCATGTGGAAAAGCAAATAAAGACGATCAAAAAAGGCAACCGTTTCCTGACAAGCTTTCGTGGATTTCACGGGCCTCATGGTGACGGTCTGGGACCTGGCGCCAGTGGGGGAGCAGTTCCGCACCTCCGACATCCGGCCTTGCCATGAGCAGGTCGGGCGCAAAAGTCGAACGCGAGTGCTCAAGCATAAAATCGATTGCTGCAGGTGTGTGGCTCCTTGCACCTGCTCTAGTCTGGAGCCTGTGTTGCCAACCACACGACGAGAGACGTTCTCCCATTCGCGTTTTCCATGTCGAGGCCAACGTGGGCAAGGCGGAGGCAAGGCGCGAAAAGCGCAACGCATTCTCGCATTGTCTTCCAAAAGCCAGGTAGCACGGCGAGCTCCCAAGCTAGCTTACCTTGGCACAGTTGTGCGGGTCATGGAGACCCGCGCGCTCGGCCTGCCACGGCGCCAGGAGCCCAGCTTAATGGCCCAGAAACACAGAGCTTGCGCTGAGCCACAGCATAAAGGAACTTGCACGCTGCTAGGGCGCAGTCCGGTATCGCAATTAAGTACATGGTAGTTCAAGTGTAAAAGGTGCGCATCTTTGCTCAAATTCTTCCAGGTAGCAAAATACACGATGCTTAACTTATATATATGTTATATGTCCTCCACGTTTGCCCGGAAAACTCTGTACAACAAACACAAAAGCCAACAAAGCAAAATGGAACAATGAAAGAAACATATTCCCTCACCCAAAGCCCGCAAAAAGAACAAAAGCAACACGAGCACTTGTTGACGACCGGAGCAGCGTGTAGCATCAGTCAGCGCCCTGTTGGCCGGTTTGAGCCCGTGTTTTGGGGCGAAGGCATTGTCTAGCGCCTTCTGAGCAGAGCCCCTCCTACTCCCTGACAATGACCGTGGATCTTTTCAAGCTTACTCGTCCAGTGCAGATTTCATGGCAGTGGCAGCATTGTGTGGCCCCAAAGCCGGACCTCGTGGCAAGCGCAGCACTGTGTGAACATCTCACCTACGTGTGCTCATGCATACCCCTGCTCTGATATGTGTGGCCTCATGTGCTGCTCACATATGTGGACTCTCGCAACTGTTGTACCTGAGCTCTTGTTTGCTGCCATGTGTGCTCTCCAAGGTGTGCATATTCATCCTCCAAGAGGTCAAGAGAACGTGGAGGGTATGGACAGTCAGGGCTCTCAACGTTGAGGTCTTTCACCTCACCCGGCCAGGTGAAGAAGGGCGTCCCGGCCGCGGACGCCGAGGCCGGGCCGTCCGCCTCCACAGTCATGTCAGGAACATACAGACTCTAAATTATCCCTAGGGCTCCAGTCGTACCTCCTCAGAAGGTATGACTGGACCCTCATGACACCCACCCCAATCCCACCTTCTTAGAAGGTACGACTGGAGCCCTATAGGGTATAGCACTGGTAGGTAATAGATGTTAATAGACTAGATGTTTCAGAAGGAGAACTATGAGAAGAAGGGAAGAAAAGGCAGCAAAGAAGGGCAGAAGAGGAAGAAAAAGGGAAGAAAAAACTAAGAAGGATCACAGAGATTCAGTTCCAATGCTCCTTCTGGAACACCCCGATTCACCCTTCATAACAAACACAGAATCGATTTCAGGAAAGGAACATATATGGCACCAAGGCTTAGAGAACAACACTCCAACGGATTTTCCCTCCCCCCAAACTACCTCCCCCCAAACTACCCAGCGTGATTTGAGCAGTTTCTGATTTATGACTCTATGACTCAAGACAGATTCCTTCCTTTGCAGTTTGACCCTGACCTGGGTTCCTGGGTCAACAACGGCTTCCAACCTCGAGGGCAAAGAGGGTGATGTCGCCAGCGAAACTCCGCGTAAGACCCGTTGAAGATGCGTTACCTGAGCCAATAAAAAACAAGAAAACAACAAAAACAAACACATCGAGTGAAGACACGAAAGTTCACCAACGGACTCTTTGAGCAAATTAATTTGTTCTCCGCATTCGAAAGAAGCGTTCGTGGATCTTCGGAGACTTTCTCCGCTAGAAACAGACGAGGACGCGCAAGCAAAAGGGTACCCTCCAAACGTTTGCAAGACCGGATCAAATATGGAACAACCTCTAGAGTCTTGTGACCATTTTTGAACAGACCATACCTGGACCCTCATTCGTCGCTAGCCATGTTCTTCCTCCAGAGTGTCTCCCTCGAAACCTCACGTCGATCCAGACCATGCGCGACAAGTTGGTCGCTGCGGGTGCTGAGGCGAGTCCGTCGGACGGCGAGTTCGACCGACACGACCTGTTCGGGGGGTGTTTTGGGGGGGCGTCAATTGATCGGCATTCGGGGAGTGTTTTGGGGGAGGACTGTCAATTTCAGGGGTCAATGTTATTCCAGTCACATGGAGTGCGTGGGATTTTCTCGCATCCGACTTCACGGTTGCTTCCTCGTTCGATGGTTGTGTTGCCAGCAGGTCGAACCGACTTGTTGGAGGATGCTGGTTTGATTCCCTTTGTACACCTCCAGTCGCACCTGGACCCTCCTGGCACCCGGGCCCACCATCTCAGAAGCTACGACTGGAGGGCTAGGGATTATCATTTGAAATGACGACATGGCCCAATGATGCTCCGCATGCTGCATGCAGTGCTTGGAGACGGGATCCGGTGTGGGGCGGATGGATGGCATGCAGCTGTCACGTCTCTTTCTCCGCGTGGCATGGAGGTGTGTGCGAAAGGCACTGAGAGGTGGAAGACAGACAACCATCACGTGGGAAAGCAGAAGACGTGCGGCAACTGGAACATCGATTGTTCCTCATTCAGGCTAACCATGGACCGGTTAGCTGGTTCCACCAGGATGAGATGAAGAATGGTCTGCACTGAAACAGGATCCGATATCAGGAGGCCTATGAAGATGTTGTCATGGTGCTGGTATGTCATGTATGTTCATATATGGTCCTTTCCTTCCAGCCTTGAATAGCCTTACTCATCCCGAAGCATTGGACTACTAATAAGGACACGTCGACACGCGCGTACTCAACGGCGTCGACCTGTTGGGTCGCTCGGTCCCGAACCGCCCCGGCGAGTTCGTCGCACGGTCGCACCCGTTCGTCGGACGCTGCAGCACCATGCACGGTCCGGACCGAACTGGAGATCTCAGTGGGGTCGGTCACATGACTCGTCTGTTTGTTTGAAGAGGTCACCAACAGAGAGGACTCCTGGCACGGTCCGTTCGAAGACGATCAGCCGTTGGTGGGTCATGCCGCCGGCGGTTTTTCTTCCCTCAGCGGCGCGTTTCGCCAGCGCGGCGCGTTTCGTGTGTCGCGTTGCGCAGCGCGCGGGTGAGAAGATCTATATAGATCAATGATTGAGAGTCCTTGCCGTCAGGTAAAGGTCGATATCCCGCCATTAAGACATGAGCAACAGCCAAAAGGGTCCAGTCACGAATCTTTATGTGAGAGGAAGTTTTGTATATACCTTGAGTCTTGAGTCTCCAATGACCCTTTTAAGTTTGCCTTTCCAAGAAAAAGATGTTTTTTGAAAGAAAGCACTCTTTTTGCATATGTCACGAAATGTTCCTTTTTTGTTTGTGCCCTGTCAGATCCTCAGACAATGTCCTGAGACCTTTTTTCGGCGTCCAAAACGCGTCTTTTTGCGTCGGCGTCTTTAAGCGTCCGCACCGGACGCGTCCGGATGAAGATTCACTCTGTACCTTTTTTAGAGTCCTCATCTCTGAAAGCGCGTTTTTCGATCAAAAACGCAAAAATATTAGACCCAAAACAGAAACGCAGAAAAACAATGTCTTTGGAGACTCAAGGTAGAAATGATGAGGGAACCCTGTAGAGCGGTATAGTGAACATTCAAAAGTGATACCAACGAGTGAAGAGCTCTAGAAAAATATCGCTGCGGCAGTGAAGGGGGAAGGAAGGGCTGCTGTCAGTGTGAATAGAATCCTCTGTCTTTCTCTATCTTTCTCTTCTCCGCCTCTACCCATATCCATGTGTAAGATTGACACAGGTATCCAAAACACTGCTGATGTCGTGAACAACCAAAAGTGCCAATATTATGGACTTCCGCATTTGTGTGTGTGTGTGAATAGGCTTTGTGCGCTCGCTCACTGACATACTGACACCTCCAAAACATGCGTCGACCACGCGTCGAATTACAGATCTCCGGTGTAATAGACTCCGGACAATTACAACATCTGTACCTGGAGCTTCAAAGGGGTGTCCAATGGAGATCCCTAGGTAGTGTAGGGTCTTCCATTGGTGACCCCTTCGAAGGTGCTGGCAGGAATCTCCCGTGTAATTCTATAATGACTCTCCTCTCCAGATCTGCAATCGAACCACCGAACTCCTCTGACCCAACCCACTCGAGTCGGAGGTCGCCTTGGAATGAGCGCCGGCGGCAAAGCGAGTGGAGTGGAGCCGAGCCGAGTGGAGTTGGCCCGTTCTCGGTCGGTGGCAGTCGTTCCACTCATTGGTGCCCAGAGACAACGGGTTCTGCGAAGTGAACTTCCTGGACGTCCCAGCCAGTCACCTTTCTTTCGGTTTTGGGGGCTGATCAGGTGATTTAGTGATGTTCAACGGGTTTATCCTGAAATCTGTGGGTTTTCCAGGTTCCTTAAGCAAATTCAAGGTTTCCCAGCTTCAGTGAATATGAAACCATGGGGATTAAGTTTGGTCACCTACTGCAGAACCAGGAAGGCTAGCGGCTCTGGGATGTTGTGGTGTTGCCAAAGACTTCTTGTTGGGGATACTTCACCCTGATTGGGGTAACATCTCATCGCATGCAGCAATTGATGTGAAAGCTGGGATTTTAGATCCAAAGCATAGCCATTGGGCTACCACAGAGATTTTAAGATGATTGGGATCACAGAGTAGAGCACTCAATTGACATTATCAATTCAGTTGTTTTTGCCCAAGGATGACACCGACAGAGACGGACCATCTTCATGGACTCTCCTGTGAGAGAAACTGACGAAGGACAAAGATACCATCTCTAGCAATGCAACAAAATACAGCAAAACATGAGCTTGAGCTGTCACCAGGACAGGATGACAATTGCAGCTCTAAGCCAAACAGCCAGACTCATCGTCGTTTGAAAGGTCGCCCACGACGGCGAGTCGTGACGACGTCTGGTCGCCAAACGCACGGTCGACCAAAAAGGAGCGCATGGCAGATGGGTGCTATTTGGGAAGCGGGTTCTAGTGGGATAGATGGGTTATAGTGGGTTCTAGTGGGTGTCTAGTGCACGGATTTGCTTGATAGATGTTCGCTAGATAGAGTGGGTCATGGACACAGACTTTTTCAGGGGTCCGTCTATTCAGATAGCTTTGAAAGTAAGTAGAACTCAGTGGAACTCAGGTTGCTTTGTAAAGAATGCTTTCAAACAGCTGGACTTGACCGCATCCTGTGCGGCTGGGACGTGCTCAGACTCCTGTGCTCAGTGCTTTAGGTGAACCTGCAAACCCTCACCTCCTTGCATGCTCATTTCAGTGGCTGCAGCTTTGCTGGGTTGAGGTTGTAGAGGTGGTTGACAGATCTATTTTGTAGAGGTGGGTTTGGGCGGATCGCTGGTCAAGAGAGCTTTTCATTTCGGGGCTGGACCTTGGTAAGCGATTATGCCTTGTTTGGCTGGCGCTACTGAATCCAAGCCGGCAGACAGTGTCCAGCGACACTTCCAAGCACGCTTTGTTTTGGAGCCACTGAGAGGAAGTGCTCGGAAGGACCACGCCTTGTTTGGTGGAGTTTTGGGGGGCTCTGCTGCAGGTGCTGCCCCCTTGGCATTGGTGGTCCTTCCACAAAGGAGCGTGCTTGGAGAGGGAGTGTTGGACCAGATCACCTGCTCACTTCAGTGGCTGCAGCTTTGCTGGGTTGAGGTTGTAGAGGTGGTTGAGAGATCTATTTTGTCCCACCCTCCCTCCCCAGATTTGGTGACCTTTGGCATAGCTGATGCCCCCTGCTAGTCCGACAGGGCAAGTTGCTGTTCCTCTGGTGGAGTTTTGGGGGGGCTCTGCTGACCTGCCAGCCCTGCAGCAACTCCCCTTGGCATTGGTGGTCCTTCCAAAAAGGAGCGTGCTTGGCGAGGGAGGGTTACTTCCATTCAGTGCTCAGTCCGGATTTGTTATTGGCTTGGTAACTTCTACATGAAACTGCGCTTTGGAAGCCCCCAAATACTAGGAGAAACTGGGGGTGTTAACATCGGTAGATGTTCCTTGAAATAGAATCACCTTTCATCACCTTCCTCCTTTGGACAGGGGTGACTTCCTGGAATCCAGCTTAGTCGATCCGCACTGTCAATATGTAGAACCGTGTAGAATCTGAGTGACCTTTTTTTTTCTGGAGTCAGAAACATGTTTTTCCATCCTTTTCCAGATGTCAAAATGGGCCAATACGCGGAATCATCAACGAGCTCCTCTGAAGGACTTGTCACACGACCCAATGCATCTGCGCCTGTCACCTTTCAACTCTTCGCCAGCTTGCGCTTGACTTCAACGATGCGTCCTGTAATCGGGAATGTTCTTGTTCGGGTCGTGCTTGAGAAGGTGCCTTTTCATCTAAATCATCGATCTGAGTGTTTCGGGGTGTCCCAACCTTCAATCCCTGGGGCCCGTGCGGCCAACCGTCCAGCCCAGCGGCGTTGCCATGGGTTCCAAAGAGCCGCGCGCGACCGGACAGACCGGATGGCAGCGATGGGAGATGCTTGGGGACCAGGAAGAAGGCAGAATGAGACATGATACAAAAGGGAAGCATGGGAATCGTGGTTGCAGATATCTAAAGTATAAAAATATGTTAAAAACACATGTGTAAACCACTCCAGGAACATGTTTTTTTTGCAACATAAAAATGCATGTTTTCGCCGTATTCATATCTTTGCGAAATCACTTTTTCACACATCACCAAACCATGGAAGGACCTGAAGACAGGGAATAATCTGACCAGAAACAATGGTTTTCACGTGCTTTCACCTTCAAAACTATACCCCTATACAGGTCAAAGACCTCATTTTACTCTACTGGAGTTGAACATAAACAAATACTACATAAGGAGGTGAAGGACTTAAAGGACCAGGTTTTACTGCATCAGACAGGACTTGTAGGCATAGGGATGTCCTGTAAATTGGTCCCTTCAATCAATTCAAAGATCCATGGAACCCGCAGCCGAGCACCACGCCATGTCGCCGAGCCCCCGAAACACTTCCGGTGCCAACAAGGCGTGGGGCGTGGGGTGTGTGAAAATCCGGTGTTACCCCGGCTCAGTTGCTTTGAGACAAACCCCGCAAAAAGGCATGATGTGTTTTTTTACTCTTTGCCGATTTGTATAAGAGAGAATGGATATCATCCTATTTTGAGATGCATTCGAACGGGTGCTTTCCATCCATCGAACGTTGATTTCGGACAGGAGGCCACGTCGCCCTTTTCCACCCCGCGCCCAGGAGCGGGTACCGGTTCCGAGAGGGAGTAGACCACGCCGCTGCTGAGCCATGAGCCATAACCCAGCGGAGTTCGTGTTTGGGTTCGGATCAGCCATTCAGAATCGGTCTTCACTCGAAAAAGACACGATCGATCCCACAGTAGGGAACAAGAATCCTTTTCAAACCTCAATCACTGCGTCACTCCCTGAGCTCGAATTCACTGACGCAAAACCAATCCTTCTCGTTCTCTCGTTCTTTGCGATCTAATACGTAACTTTTTTGCCACAAAAGGTCAACTCTCAGATGTCCGCGCACATTTGGGCCAAATGATGATAAATGTATCGACGTACAGCGGTTGTTCTGACTCGACATGTACCGACATGCAGAGTTCCGGACTCGCATGGTGTGACTCGCTCTTGGTGCGCCGCACTTGCGGCTCAAGGGGCCGCCGAACCACCACTCGTATTGGGGGGGGGCCATGGATGAGAAGGATTCGCGGATTGAAAGTGCCTGGGTTGGTTTTGAGGGCTGAAGGGGTGGTGGACGGCTGAAGGGGTGGTGGTTTCGTTCGTGGATTTCGTGGATTTCAGGCCTTTTCGGGTCAAAACCAGTGAGTTCTTCTCCACCAAGCCGCTGAGTCAGTCTTTTTATGTGTGTATACCAGGAGTCGACCCGTGAAAGTACCTGTTTTGACGGAATCATTTCTCCCATTTTCTAAGGTACGAATGAAGTCGGGTCCAGGTAATATCATTACAGTACGTACCTGGACCTTCAAGGGGGGTCCAATGGAGGCCCCTTAGTAGTGTAGGGGCTTCCATTGGTGATTCCTTTGAAGGTGCTGGTATACGTATTATGATATGCAGGTGCCATGCCTTTCCTTGAGCAACCCCTCATCGAAACACCACACCGATGGCGAGGAGTCCGTGTTGCTCTCGAGTCTTAGGTCTTGGTGTGCCGACCATGTGCATGTGTCGACATGTGGACGACTCAGGAGTCTGTGACCTCTTCCAGGACCCCCTAAGGGGTGTCTATTGATAGCCCCTTAGAGGTTAAGGGGTGTCCATCTTAAGGTTAGAGTCTGTGAGTCTGTGACCTCTTTTGTTCGTCTGTGTTTGTGACGGGCGGCTCGAACTGGCCGCTTTGCCGTCTTTGTAGAGATCACGGAGTCTCTCTTCAACCCTGTTTGTGACCTCAAACGAATGGACGATTCGACCGAAGGCCACGATCTCATGAGTCGACGGTCACGTACTGAAGGTCCTGGTGAGACAAGCATCCAGCATCGCGGTGATGTGTTTTGTTTTGTGTAGATCCGGATCCACATGGATCCACATACTTTCGCAGCAGCAGAAGGTACGACTGGTACCATCCTGGCACCGAAGCTGTTCTCACCATGTTGAACACATCACTGATCAGGTATGGGTGTGGGATTCATCACTTGGTTGCTAGGGGGTTGCGAAGCGAAGACGGCGTTTTCATGATGCGAAGAGCGGCGTTCCGCGGCGTGTTCCGCGTAAGCACGTCCCAAGGCATGGGACGCGCACGATCTCCGTGCCTCGGCGGGGCGGGTCATCAATTGAAACCTGCAACAGGCCCTTCCCAACCCATTTCGGAGACCTATTGGGTTCGGTGCTGGTATATGTTTTTGCGTTTTGTAGGTTTCATGGTGCAATCTACCAAAGACTCGGGCGGCTGATGCCTTCGTCAACATGGGAAGACTTCCGTTCACCCTATAGCTATATAGGACAAGGTTAGTGAAGCAACCCTGCAGACTTCAGAGATGCTTTCCCCCTGCACCCTAGCATTGCTGGGCTGAAAAACGCAATCGGGTCAATCGGCCGACTGACGTCTTTGCACCCTCCAAGCCAAAGTCACACCCGGGCAAAGCTGACAAGCTCGAGCTGCGAGCTGTCCAAGTGTAACTCTGTTCTTTGATAGAGGCGGCCGAAGTCCTGAGCTCTCGTTTGTGACGCGAATCCGTGTTCGATTCGCGCCGGCGCACCAAACGTCCAGTCCACGTCTACATTCGACGGTAACCGACCGTTTTGGACATGGACACATG